GTGTGTGTGTGTGTGTGTGTGTGTGTGTGTGTGTGTGTGTGTGTATGTGTACAGTGGGGTCCTGCTGAGGCCATACAAGGGCAGCACCTGGACCACTTGTGAGGGGAAGGACAGCTGAGACAGAGGGCTAGGTCAGATCAGACCAGCAAGGCCTCCACATTGGCTGCCAAGGCCTCTAGAGCCCATACAAGGTTCTTTCAGAACTGTTCACCCCTATGTTCTTGGCTGGGTCCCTCCTTCCTTCCTCCGGGATCCCTCTCCTGGTTACCTCCTGCTCACCTTCTCCCTGTGTGTTTTCTGAGCTGGGTACTCACACAGTACTGATACGGCTGATGGTGCACCAGACATCTCTGCACCCTCTAGGATAGGGTTCCTTGCCATCACCATGCTGTAGGCACCTTGCTTCTACAGCATCCAGACATGCTTCAAACATTGCTTATTGTTAGACAAATTAGCCTGAAAGCAGGTTTCTGGGCTCCTCTACCACGCAGGACTATTAATTAGAGCCACAGAAGAAAGGAGGTTGCCTTTGCTCCAGGCTCTGCGGGCACTGTCTGGCAGGGACAGGGTGAGAGTAAACATATGTGGTTCTACTGACCCCGAAGGGCCTCTTTTAGAGCCAAGCAAAATAAAAGCAAATGCCAAAAGAAGCAAACGTCAACAATAAAAAGCCCTTCCCCACATTATTCTAGCCTGAATTAATTTCAAATGATACATTAGGGCCACTCCTTAGTACAGAAATCCAACATCTATGTTTGCACTGAAGGGACATTGCTCTCCAGCAACAAAGAGCCCCCGGCAAGCTCTGAGCCTGGGGTAGGCTATGGAAGGTGCATATGGCGGTAGAAGGAATCCCACAGACGTAGCCTTCTACAGCACACACTGGCCCAGCCTTACCCCGGTGTGATGGTTTAATTGTCAACTCCAATACAACCTAGAATAACCTAGGAAGAGAAGTCTCAATGAGACACTGTCTGTGGGGTTGGCCTAAAGGCACACCTGTGGAAGATTGTCCTAATCACCTTAATTGACATTGGAAGACTCAGCCCCTTGTACTGTCATCATTCCCTAGGCAGGGGGCCCTGCACTGTCTTAAGAGTTGAGAAACTGAGCAGTTCCAGAGCAAGGAGCTTTACTGTGCTCTTGAGTAGATACAATGTAACCAACTGTCTCAAGTTCCTGCTGCCTCGACTTCCTAGGGATAATGGGCTGCAACCTAGAACTAGAGGGAAAATAAACCCCTGACTTCTCCAAGTTCCGTTTTGTCCAATTATTTCATGTAACAGCAGCAATAGAACAAGAACTCTGGGTTCCAGACCCATCTGCAGCTCAAATCCTAGAAACCTCAATACTTACACACCTATGTGGCTGCTGCCTGCTCTAGGATGTCCTTAGATTGCATTCAACAAAGTTCCTTCTCAGCCAGGTCCTCTGACCAGATGCTACTTGTAGGCCACCACCTGTGGGCATGGCTGGGGATTTCCCTTTCTTTCCCGGTACAGCCACTAGAACTCAAGCTATCTCAACCCCAGCAACTCCCTGCCCACCCTCCTTGACTCAGCAACTCCCTGCCCACCTTCCCTGACTGAACAACTCCCTCTCCATTCCCTGGCAGGTTTTGGAAGAGCAGCAGTATATACCACAGAGAAAGGGAATGTGTGAGTGCGGGGGTGGGTGGGGAGAGCTGGCATGCTCCTTCACAGGCATCACTCTGGCCTGAGAGAGACTTCTGGGATCTCATTCCTGACCTCTGCTGCCCCTCACTCATCAATGGCTCTTATTCCCCCTCTCCCCTCCCTCCCTCCCTCCCTCCCTCTCTGCACCACCTGGACACTTGTCACAAACCAGGGACACCATGTGGCAGATTCAAAGCTAGCAGGGCATGGAAGCAGAGGAGCAAGGCTGGGTCAGGAGAACATGGCAGGTCTCCTGTGGTCACACTGAAGAGAGGACTGAGAGGAGGAGATAAAGCAAGGGGCTTGGGAAATACAGGTCCAGGAAGAAGGCCAGTGGAGAGTGAAACATTCCCACATTCCCACTTTCCTCTTCCCACCCTCCTTTTATGCAGCAAAACTTGTGATACAGTACTGGATCATTTATTCACAGCTTCTCTCTCCCAGTGAGATCAGTGGATCCCTAGGGTATGGCTCCACCACATCAGGGTCATCCCCAGCCCGGGAAGTACCTGAGACATAGGGTCTCAATGTGCCTGCTCGAATCAATTAACAGGAATGATACATTGGCAGAGAAAAACCAAGGTGTGTCCCCTACCATGGAGTGGAGTGCCACCCCAGAGGCCTGGCTTTCAAGCCCCAAATGCTATACTGTGCTAACCATTCCTCAGGGTACCAGGACGACTGCTATCAACAGGAGGTCTGTCTGCGAGCCAGTCTCCACAGACAGGTGCCTCCTTAGCTCTCAGACTTGGCCACAATGGGAGCTGTGGAGCCTGTCGATAACCTAATGGGAGGTTTGGCTTTGCGTCTGCAAGCTCCTGTCCTCTTTGGTTTTAAGGAGCGGACAGTCTGATTTTTCCCGAGCATCTGCTGGGAGAGACAGGCACCCTGACAATCCACCGGCTTCACTTTGACCTCGTCTGGGAGAAGAAGCCTCGTTTAAACAAGTTCTGTAATCAGAACTGTAAAGCCAAGGCTCAGAAACACCCCGATTTGTCCAGTCTGGATGGGGCTCAGGTGACAAGGGACCAGGGCTTCCATGCACACTGTTTTGTCCCTGTGATACTAGTGTGTTCTCTGAGGTAAGACAAGTGACGACACAGAGAAGAGGGGTGGGCAGAGTAGAAAGTAAGCTTCACACATAATGCACATCTTGTTTTTACTCTTTCTCTTTTTCTGTTTTTTTGCAATTCTGGGGATGGAGCCCAGGGCCTCATGTATGCTGGACAAGTGCCCTGACACTGAGCTATACCCAGCCTGATGTTTCAATATTCTACTAAAAAAATCCTCTGGGGTTAACTTCAGCTCCAGAAATGAAATTCCCATGTGTGACGGTGTTGTACAATACAGCCTGGGTATGGGGTGGCATTCCAAGGGGCGAGTCCAGAAGTCAGATGCATTTTACCCCTGCAAGCCTGTTTGTCCTTGGTGAGCCTTCCACCCCAGCAGAAACTAGTGTTAGCATGGCCAGGGCAGGTGGGCGAGGATGGATGCCAGTGGTGCTTGTGAGGATTTAGGACTGTGGGCAGGAGGTCACCAGTTTGAGCCTCTCTGGGGAGTCAGCCCTGCTGAGGGTCCCTAGCATGCTCACCCACAGGCTGACAGTTTGTATCTATCTCAGACTCTTAGTGTTGACAGAGAGGCCATGTGCACCAGGCAGCTGCAGTGTTCCCTCCGCCCTCCCTTGCCATGTGGCGTGTGTAGCGGAGACTTCTGCAAGCAACTTACATTCCAGTCTATGGTGACAAAGAAAGGATGACGCTTAATTTCCTCCACTCCATCAATGCCAGCACCTGTCACAACACAGCAGAGAATATGTGTCAGTGCAAGTCCAAGACCATGTGTTATCTCTGACTGCTACCAGTGCAGTTGTGTGACAGACAAGAGAGCACCCAGCAGGGCAAGTTCTGGCATGGTCTTTCTGTGAGAAGAAATCTCACACTTGCCCATGGCCTAGGAGCCCAGGAAGCCCCATGTGACTCCAAGGCTGTGACACGGCTGCAGCCAGAAGCTTAAGTGGTAAAGGAGAAGTAGGTATCTAGGTATCCGGCTCCAGACTTCCTGCTCCAGTATTATGCCAGGATGCCTAGAGAGGAGCAGGTGGCTGTCACAGTCACAGACGATGTTTGCCACATCAAGCCAGGTTCCAGGACTGGACAAAGCATAGCAGGGCCAGAGACTACTTGTAGAGCGCCTAGCCAGGCTGCTGTAGCTTTCGCCAGGGTAAGGGAGAATCTCAAGAAAGGAAAAGGAGACTGGGTGGACTGAGTACTGGGACATGCAGCCTAGTCTGGGATTCCCTCTACCACGCCCGACCCTTGCATAACTTAAGTCATTGTCACTCGGAGACAGTCTGTGGTTCTCTGATTCTCTCATCCATTGTGTCTACCTAAACTCTCCCCTTACTTTGTTTATATTAAGATTCCAAGTTGTGTACTGGACAGGAGCAGGGGTTGGCAGGCAACAGGGGATGTCTGTGTCTGTGAGATCATTCCGGATATCTCTCAACACCACAGCCAGGGTGAAGTGAATGGTGAGTTCCGGGGAACAGCAGGAGTGTGCTCATCAAGTGCTGGACACCCCACGTCCACCTGGTGTGAAACTGAGAGGAGAGCATGGGGGAGGGGCGAGGGAACCTGCTGTGCTTCCCTTCAATTCCTTCAACTTATGCTGCTCTAAATAAGATCAATTAATTAAAAGCAAAGCTCTGAGGCCCAGGAGCTCCTGTTTTCCCCAGGATTGCATGTAGTCAAGGAGCCCAGGCTCTGCTGCTACGAGTTGGGCAGAGTTAGACTCAGCCAGCTGGAAACCAAATCACAGGGAGTCTTGTCAGTTCCTGTCCCAGGGGTGGGAAATGAATGCCCACTCCTCCTCCTCCTCCCCCTCCTCTTCCTCCTCCTCCTCCTCCTCCTCCTCCTCCTCCTCCACCACCATCCCATACTGCAGCCCAACCTCCTCCTGGCTCTAAGGCCTAATGGCTCCTGAGTCCACTCTGACTCAGCTCCTGAAGCGCTAGGGAGGGTTTCTTCTTCCTAAGACATCTCTCAGCAGGGCACCATGAAGGGCAGCACAAGGTCATCTTGAGATGCTCTGGGGAAGTCAGGAACTGACTCTATGAAGTAAGAGACTGACCCCATCATCAGAGGATTGGAGTCTTTGTGGGTAGGGCCATATGCATTCCATGGCTCATGCTGACCCTCTGGTCCTCTGCTGTGTTTACAGCAGTGACATGAATCATCTCCCGCCTTTCGGGGAGCTTGGCTAACCTGAAGGGACCAGCTTCCCTTTTGGCAGCCATGACGGCCAAACACGTGCTTCTATGACCTTGTCCTAGACACTAGAAAATCAAATGCCTGCCTCGTGACAAGGAACCAATCAGAAGTTAGCTGGTGACGCTATGCTTTACGACCCTGGGTGTGCTTTACGGACAAGTGCACAGCAATGACGCACAAAGCATAGCAACCACCCTGGGAGGGCCTATGAGCCATAACAACCAATTGGCCAATCAACACAGGGCAAGCCCTCCAAGCCTGGAGGCACACCAATCGTGAGTCTGTGCGTACCCCTAGACACTCCCCTTACGCTGCCCTATAAAATCTCTTGGGAGGCCCTAGGAGCTGTCTTTGCTAGCCATTGGCCATGGCGGGTGGGTGAAAGACCCGAGCTAACATGGGGTTAGCTCGTTAAATTACAATAAAGCCTCATGCAGTTTGCATCAAGCTCTCGAATCCGCCTGGTGATTGGGGTGACCGCAGTCATGGCCTAGGACCCTAGATACCTGAGTTTTCCGGGGGGGTCTAACATTTGGGGGCTCGTCTGGGATTTGCAACCACCCCTCACCTGAGTGGATTCGATCTTGGAGGTAAGATGATTTGAGCTCGCAACTTATATGTCCATGTTTGCTTGTTATGTCTCTTGCTGTTTTGTTGGTTTGGTGCCATGACTTGAATTTGATATGTGCCTGCACAGGACTTGTATTTGGATTTGTAATTTGGACCACAGGGGGAGGCAGACGTGTTTCGAGACTCTGAAGTCCCGCCCTGGACGTGAGGGTTATTTGAATAGAACCATAGGGTAAGCAGACATGCGCAGAAATAGACGTATTTCTGGAACCCTTGGTTCTTCCCTGGACGAAAGTCCAAGGGTTGTTTGTAATTTTGGTTTGGGGCACCATTTCTTTGCTGCGAGGTTTGTCCTGTCTGAAGTCTATCTGTTTTGCTGTTGGTGTCTGTTAAGCCTGGAGGATTGGAATGGACTGGGTGACTGAACAGTTGAGCAATAGGTTTGTTATCTGTTATCTGATCTGTTGCAACCCACACCCCACCCGCCTGCTTGTGTGTCATTTTACTATTTCTGTTAATTTTGTGGATGTGGAGGTTCTATGTTGGGGTTTCTGGCGACATCTGTGAGTCTTGTAGGCCTAAAAGAATTGTTTTAGGGCAGAGGTTCAGGCAGCAGCCTTCCGAAGTCTACAGGGGAGACTTGGTTTCAAACCAAGTTGATCTCCATGGGGCCAGCCATCTGAAATTCCGAATAGGACCCTAGTCTGTATTAAACATCTCTTTCTGTCCCTACTGTCCACGCACATGGCATGCATGGGTCAGGGGTCTTTTCTTGATGCTCTGAGCACGTGGCACCACCTCAACTGTGATCGGCAGATGCGCCCGGAGGACAGACTGCTGCTCTAAGAACACCCAGGAGGTACGAACAGAGGCCAAGGACTTGGATCCTCCTCAGTTAGTGGTGATTGTAGCCGCCGGGTTCCCGGCGCCATTGCCTTATAAGCGCATTGCCTTATAAACTGCGCGGGCAGATTGGGTTGGCGTCTGTTCTTTCCTGTCTATTCTCTGTTATCATCATTGGTTTTCAATTCAGGATCCACCACGCCACCCCCTTTCTATCCCCACCTGCGGGTCTGTGAGGCATGCCAAGTGGGGCTGTTTCTGCCCCAGCTGCCATCCTGCCTGCTGCGGGAGTTTCCCTGCTCTGAGGGAACATGGCTGCAAGGCTGCCATCTGCCTGGCTGCCCGTCTTTCTGTGCTCCACACACATGGTATGGAGGGGGGCTGCAGGGGTCTTTTTCCCACCCCTGCATTGTCCGAGAGTCTGGGGTTACCAGCAGCACCCCCACCCCAGGTCTCTCTGCCTTGAGCACATGAAGCTGGGGCGTATGAACTTATCTGGCCAGATCCAGACTTCTAAAAAAAACCGCCTTAAAGTTATTAAGAACTGTAAAAGGGACTTTGATAAAAATTTTTATGTTGACTGAGAAATGAGGGAAAATGTAGGAGACTTAAGTAATAAAGAGGGAAAGGGAAAAGGAAATTTGTCTAAAGTTATAGAGAGTTAAAGCAAGTCGTAGGTCAGAGAAAAGGTTGTTACAAGTTGGAAAAAAATGTAAACTGTAAACTGTTTGCTATGGTTTCTCATGTCTACAAATAGTAAATTTTAAAAATGGTAATATAAGTTAAAATTTTAACCATATTAAGCTAATTTTGTTTTAAAAAGTCCTGTTTATTTATGTATACTTGTTTTAAAATGTTGTGTTTCCTGGTAGCCAGCCACATGGCAAACTGGTCACATGGCTGACTGGTAGCCATTTTGCTGAAGTTAAAAAAGGATACTTAAACCGCTATCTTGACTAAAGGTGACCGCATGGAAATTAGAGGTACCATCTTAGAAACAAGTTTTTCAGTTAAGATTTAAAATCTTAACCTTGGACTTCTATATATTACAGAAGACATTAAGAGAATTTAAATTTCTTTTTAAAAGCAGTTTTTTTAAATGTTCGTTTTTATTAATGTTTGTACTTAAAGAGCTTCAATTTAGAATCATTTTTGAGCAAAGCCTGTAAATGTAAAGTTCTTGTTTTATAAAGGCTGCTAATCTATTATAAGATGTT